AACCTCTTCATGCTGCAGTATAAAGCACCTTGAGATGACTATTGTTGTGAACTAATGCTATATGTATACTGATGGTAGGATTATTGTCTATTTTACACTGAATGGGACCTTCATTTGCAAAAATTAGTATTATACTGTTTTACCTAAGATTTGAAATTAGCTAAACTTTGAAAGAGCATAAAGTCGTCATTGAAGTGTTTTTACTAAGATCATAAATCACTTTAGAAGAGAATAATTTCCCCATAGACTTTAGTTAGAAAAGTCTCCCCTGGCCACTGGAAGGAATGCAAGTTTCAGGCAATTACACGTTGCTGGATGCTATGTGCGTTATTTATATGTGGAACTTGTTTGTATTAGAACTTGGAAAAGCCTAAATTTCTCACATTTGAAAGCATAAAATTATTCTCTGTTTGCCTTTTTTTGTTTCAAAAGTACTGAAATCAAACAAATGTGTTAATTTTCTTTTGTTGCAATTCTTGCACTTGATCCTGGCTATGCTAAATGTCCACCATCATTGGGTGCTAAAGTTGTTTGGGTGATGGAGCTAATGGCCTTCATACTTGAGTAGAAGAATAAGTGCTGAAGGCTTCACACACGCGCGATTAGCGTCACTAAAATGATTTTGGAGTTGAGTGAAATTCAGAGGGTAGTTTGGTTTTCTTTCCCCATCAGGCTACAATGAAAATCTGGCAGAGGTGATGGGATTACAATCACTGAAGCCATAGATAATCATTTCAATTAGAGGACTCTCTCAAGGAAAACTCAGACCGGTAGTGGAGCGCTTATATGTATCCATAAAATAAATCATTTTTATGTACCCGTAATAAGCTTACACTATGAAATGTGAGAGCACGGCTCAACCACTTTCTCCTCTATATAGACCATCTCTGCTCAGCTAACCTTTCTTTCCCTTTGTTGTGGCTGAATAAAGGAAGGAGAAAGAAAACAAAATGATTTGCCTTCATCTCTAAATCTGTGCTGGACTCTTGTTTAAAACCTCTTCTCCCTCTCTACAGGTCGGCTTCCTGAAGACACAGCACCGGTATGAAATAGTGTTCACCCTTCCTGAGATCCCAGCTCTGGGTAAAAATGTGTGTCCAGCGCCGCTACCCGGCCCACACCTCCGGATCACTGATATCACACCGGCACAAGAGGGTGAGGTCACGAGCGATGGAAAACCAAAAAACAGTTTTCCATTAAAATTGTGAAAAGAAGGTTGAGTTTTAATAATGTAAATTTGTAATTACGTTCAAATTATCAGTGTTGCATCTTTTGACTGATGACTTTGAGCTAAACTAGGTCACTGGTTTGGGATTTGTCCATCATGATCAGTGTTATGTAACACATTAGCTTAATGATTACTGAAAGTCAAAAATGGGAAAATCATTTTTCATGTAGTGCAATCTTTATGTCAGATGTGTTTATTTTAGATTCGCTTTAGGTAATAAAACCAAATCAGTAGTAACAGATTAGTGAATATAGCATAAGGACTGCACAACAGGCTGGCCTAAAGTCTAATATGTTAGTACCAATGCTGTGGTTTTATACTCCTATTGCTTTTAAAACCATAATATCATCTTCTTTTTCTTTGTTTGGCTGATCCCTTTAGGAGTCGTATGACTATATTGTACTATATTACTTTGTTAAGGTCTCACCATGGTGCTGCCCTGGTAGCCTGTGCGCTGCTATACAAAGCTTTGTAGCCTCTCCAGAGTACATCGCACAAGCTTTACATTGTGTTGTCTGTTTTTGGAGGACTGCAGGCGAGTGTACCTCTGTAGCCTCTGCATTGGTTGAACTCCCATGAGCCCTCTCTCTGAGAGCTAACAGAGACAAAAGCAGGAGCATAAATCCGGCTTTAGTCAGTGACCAGACTCTGTAATATTGTCAGA